ATATATATGAGATGGTCACAACGTGACGGGACAATGTGTAGGTAGTGAGTAATTGATCTACAGTCAGAGAGTACTGTTGAAGTTAACGTTCGTTGTTATAGCGTTTGTTTTAGCGCAATTGTTGAAATTAGGTGTATCGTAAAGTTGTAATCGTAAAAGAATAAACCAGTTTTATTTAAGAAAGGACTTGTGTCGCTAAAGTTTAGTCGGAAAGAATTTACAGGAAATCAATTAACAAACGGAGACGTAACAATAGGTTATCGTTTTCTTTAAAGGAAATAATGTATTGAATAGGGGCTTTTCAAAAATATCATTTTAATGACTAAATTCTCATTATTAAGCCTTAAGGTTTATATGAAAATTTTTCCCATCTTTGATTTCGCTTTACTCTTGCAATGAAAATAAAATTGTTGGGAATTTTCAATATTTTGTTTACAAAATTTGTGAAGTATTAAAGTTTTCTGTTAATTTCTAGTACTAATATTTTGTTTTGCTTGTTCTATTTTTTAACGAAAATGAAATCAATAATGGTTTCAGAAAATATGTATATCTTTACTGTTTGTTTACAACTCCAAGTTTGTAAATTATTTTATTATTGAATGGGCCACGTGAACTCATACATTGGTGCTGCACCAAAATACACAGTTATCTCAAAATGCAAAAAAAATTATCTTTTCGTAAAAATACCCAAGGCAAAAGGTTGGATTTTTTGAAAAAATCTTTGAATGATATATTTTGATGTTCTTTAGTAGAAAATTTTTGTTCGTAATGGGCTTTTCAAAAATATAAATTTTTCTTCGAAATTCACTACTGTTTATTGTTTATGTATCAAAATACTCACTAAAATACGCATTGAAGAAATCGTTTGTTTTCGTGTAAACTGAGGCCTTTGTATTTTGGTAAAAATTCTTGTATCATAGGTTATCGTTTTCTTTAAAGGAAATAGTGTATTGGATACGAGCTTTAAAAAATTACATTTTATTGACAAAATTTTAAGCCTTTAAGATTTTATGAAAATTTTGCATATCTTTGATTTCGCTTTACTCTTGCAATGATTTATTTGTTTGTTTTTGAATTTCGCGCAAAGCTACACGAGGGCTATCTGCGCTAGCCGTCCCTAATTTAGCAGTATAAGGCAACTAGTCATCACCACCCACCACCAAATCTTGGGCTACTCTTTTACCAACAAATAGTGGGATTGACCGTCACATTATACCGCCCCCACGGCTTAAAGGGCGAGCATGTTTGGTGGGACGGGGATTCGAACCCGCGACCCTCAGATTGCGAGTCGAGCGCCTTATACACCTGACCATACCGGGCCCTCTTGCAATGAATATAAACGTCGTCAGTTATATTGTGAACAAAGAATAGCTTTAAAAATAAGATTATTCAAACAAAATCCCAACATCTAAAAGGCCATAAGGTCTTCTTATAAAATAAACTCCACCTTTTGAATTGTTTTTACAATGAGTTAGCGAAAGTTCAATTTTTTTAACTTTTCACGGGACATATTATTTTTCGTTAATACTATAATGTCTCAGTTTTTAATATATCGTAGAAATAAGCACTATCCGATATATTTCTATTAATTTTGCGTCAAAAAAGCAAAAAGATTCTCAAAAAGAATCTCTTCATGTGTATGTTTGCTGAAAATGAATCTGTCACGCGTACAAGTTACAAAATAATGCATAAGATGGCAGAGCGAGGAAAACCGTTTACTGACGGCAACTTCATCAAAGAGTGTATGATGGAAGCAGCAAATGACTTGTGTCCTGAGAAAGCCGATTTGTTTGTAAGTATCAGCCTTTCAGCAAATTCAGTTGTGCGGAGAACAGAAGAACGTGGAGAGTACATGGTGTTACAGATACGCGAGAAAGCTAGG